AGCTGGAGTCCCTCCATGCAGGGGGCACTGTTCAGAACGCAGGCGCCCCCCACCATGCTGGGGCGCCGTGAGGCCCTGCACCCCTGTCTGGGTTCAGCGGTTTGACAGTGGGCTGCTGAGGCGGGCCCCGGGCCCCTGGGTGACCAGCTGGATGGCCAGGAAGGAGGAAGGCCACTGCCCACGGCTGCGTGAGGCACCTGCCCCAGGGGCCGGGGAGCCACTGCGCCTGCTTCTTGCAGGACACTGGGCAGAGCCCCAAGATGCGGCTCCGCTTGCCCCCTCCGGACTGGCCTCGGGCCGGCCTCCGTCACAGCCCCCGGAGGGGGCGGGCAGCTCAGCGCCCCAGCCACGTGCGAGCGGGGACGCCCGCTCCCGCAGCGCCTGCTCTCACGCAGCCCGCAGGCTCCTGCCCAGGCAGCAGCTGGGCAAAGCCGAGGGCACCGGGGCACAGGCCTGGGCCGGAGCGTGGGGCGGGGACGGAGTCTAGTGGACAGTGCGTGGGGTCGGGCAGCTTCACCTGCCCTGGTCCCTGTCCAGGGCGCTGGGTCACAGGCCCTGACAGGGAAGCTCTGAACAACAGTGCCCCCTCCCCGGCCCCTCCCTTCCCCCCCCACAGCCCACAGTCCCTCCCCTCCCCGGGGCCTGCACCTCCCCCTGCCCCCCCCCCCCCCCGCCCCTGATCTGCACCCCCTGCCCCCCCTCCCCTGCCCTAACTGCCAGGGCTGTGGCTCCCGCCCTTCCCCCACCCTCCCGCCTGCCCCAGCTCAGCTGACCCGCAGCCGGTCTCACGCGGCCGCCTCTCCCGCTGAGCAGAGCTAATAGCTGGGGCCGGCCCGGGCCCCAGGGTGCTACACCCCCACCTTCCTGCTGGGTGCCGTGCTGGTGGCCAGTGAGCCTGACAGCGGGTGACTCAGGCCCGGAGGGCGGGGTGCGGCCCAGAGCAGGCAGGGGTGACTCAGCACCTCGGACCCCCATGAGGAGGACCCCCTTCCTGCGCCCCAGCCGCCCCTCGGCTCCAGGCTTCTCTGCGGACCCCCGCCACGCCCTGCCCACCCCCGCCCTCCAGCACGTCAAGGCCTGGGGTGGCCGGGAGTCACCTCCAGGCCTGGCACTGGGCTGCTGGGGCTGAGCCTGCAGGCGGGCCCGGCCCTCCTCTCTGAGGGGTGCACGAGGAGGCAGTGCCTGCCACAGCCCCACAGGGGAGTGGGGCTCCCCTCACTCCCCGGGGCTTTCCTTTGGGGTGAGGGCCGCTGGTGCTGACTGGCCTTGGTAGACACAATGCAGGCGCCCCGCCCCCCATGGCAGGGCCCAGGGCCAGCCCCCCCTCCTCAGGGCCCAGGGCACCCTCAGTTCAGAGCCACTGGCCCGGTAGGCAGGGGCTCCCCAGCTGCGGCTCCCTGTCCCCTGCCTGCCCGCTTGGGGGGGTGCCCCTTCCCGTGTCACCCCCGGCCCTGGGGGCTGCTGCTGGGGCTGATTCTTGGGGGAGTTTGACAAACACAGCTGGTGGGGCCGGGCCAGGCAGCACCTCGCCAGGACAGGACGGGCTGGCGGGGGGCTGGGCGCGGTCCCTGCCCTGCAGACAGACCTGGCAGCGGCCCGTTCAGTTTACTGAAGACCATGTGGCCACGCCGGGGGGATGGCGGGGGGCTGCGTCTAGGACAGGCTTTGGGGGGCCCATAGACCTGCAGAGGGCCAAGGGCGCCCACGCGGTGTCCCAGCTTCTTCCTGGGGAGTCTCCTGGCTGGGGGTCTGGTCGGGTTGGTTCCTCTCAACAGATAATCCTGTGACCCCACCTCGCTGGTTCCGGCAACTTCCACAGCCGGTCTAACCACCGCTCCTCTCCCCGCCCCCGCCGCTCCTGCCCACAGACCTTGCACCTGAATTTCCCTCCTCAGCTCCCCTCACTCCAGGGGTGGCCGGGGCTGCCAGAGTCCACGAGCAGGCCCCTGAGTGGGGGGACCCTCCCTGCCCCCGCGTCTGGCTGGCCCCCCAGGGCGCCCAGGCAGGCTCCCGGCAGCTGGGCCCGGGGCGGGGGAGCCGGCACCATCAGCTGGGAGGAGGATGGGGGTTCTCCGCAACACCCCCTCTCTGACAAGCCATCTTTATGTGTAGCGTAAACATGACGTCACCCCTCCCTCTTGTCATGTGGCCCCCACCCCCACCCGAGGTCCCAGATTCCTGCACCCCACGCCCCATCCTGGCTCAGCCATGTGGGCTGGGCTCCCCCCCCAGGCCGCCCCAGCAGAACTGGGGGGCTGGGGCTGCCCGGGCCCAGCGGGGGACACTTCTCACACCTTTGGGTGAACGCCCAGCAGACGGTGCTCTGGGGGCTGCTCCAGCACCCCCACGTGGGGGCGGGGCTCCCGGGCGCAGGGGCCTGGGGCGGTGACGCCCCCACAGCTGCCTCCCTGGGCCTGTCTGTCCAGTTCTTCTGCCCATTTGAAATCGCGGCTCATTTTCTGATGTGTGACTTCTAAGTGTCCTTCCCTGCGGCCGCCTGCGCCCCCCCACGCCCGCGCCCGCTGCTCTCCCCGAGGGATCCTCCAGGGACACTCGGCTGGCCGGGGCTGGTGTCCCCCCACCAGGCGGCTGCTCCCTGCGCCGGGGCCACCCCCCCGGGGCCACTGGCCTGCGCAGACAACCGGGGCTTTGTGGGAACCCTTGTCGCTTCCACCCTCTGCTCCCCAACACCGGGCTCCAGCCTGCAGCGGGCCCCGCCTCCCTCTCTCCCTGCCTCTCCTGTCCCAGGCTGGCACCCCTCAATTATCTACGAGTTGCGGTGCCCGGGCTCCCTTCTTATCTTCCACACCTCACACTTGCCCTCCCCGGAGACTCCTGCACACACTGCGTGGAAAACACAGACGCCAGAGCCCACCCGTCGGGGCTCGTGTCCCGGGGGCTGGGGCTGGGGCACGGGCCAGAGGGGCAGGGCCAGGCATGGCACAGGCTGCGCGCTCTGCGGCCAGGCGGGGGTCTGGGCCTGGAGGGCCGGGGGTGCTGGCCAGGAGCTCCAGTCCCTGGGAGAAGGGAGGCTGACCTGGGGGCGGAGGGCGGGTGGGGGCAGGGGAAGGGAGGGGCTCCACTTGGGCCTGGCTCCTGCCTTCCCGCCGGCACCTGTCTGTCTGCCGGCACCATCTCCAAGCGGCCCCTCTAAGCGAGCTGGGCCTTCCCGGAGCCTCTGCCCGGCCGCCCGCACACGCCCTCCCGACCTCTCCACGCTGCCCGGTCAGCGCGGCCTCCCCAGCGTGGGGCGACGACTGGCCCTGCCTCCAAAGTGCTTCCGAATCCGACAGCCCCCAGGCCTGGCCCCTGGTGGCCTCCGCTCTCCCCCTCCCGCCCCCACCCCAGCACCCACCCTGCTGCTCCCAGGCGGGTGCGTGGAAACAGGGCGGGGAGGGCACCGCGCCGTGGGCAGTGTCGCAATGGCAGCGGCCTCGTGAGCAGACTCCAAGGGGGTGACGGGTCAGGCTCTGGGGGACAGGCCTGGCGAGGAGTCAGCTGTGTGGAGGAGGGGGCGGGACAAGGTCAGACGTGGGCCCTTGCTCCCAGGCGCTCCAAGGCGCCCCCGGCATGGCTGGGGGGAGCTGGGGCTGCCCTAAGCACGCGGCAGGCTCCCCAGGGCGGGGCTGAGGCGCCCTCCTGGCCACAGGCTGCGACTGGCCTCCACTGCCTGCACCAGACCCCCGCCCCCCCCCCCGAGGAAACCCCGTGGCTCAGCCAGCAGCCGCCGGGCGGGCTGGGGTCTCTGCTCTGCCTCAGCTAAGCGCCAAGGGGCCCTCCGAGTCAGCGACTCCATCAGGGCCAGCGCCAGGCAGTGTGCGGTCCGGGGGCCACCCAGGCCCGAGGCGTCTGGCCTCGTGCAGGCCAGGCAGCGGCTCCCACCAGCTAAGCAGGTGCGGCCTCCATGGCTGCGGGTCAGGCCAGGCCGTCCAGTCCAGGCCCTGGCTCCACAGGCGGGAGGGTCCGCGGGGCAGTTAGCCCACCAGAGGGGCTCGGAGGCTCCTGGACGGCTGTGGGCCCCGTGAGACCGGCCCCGCTCCCCCACGGCCGGGCAGCACGGAGGGCGTCTCCACTCCCGATGGGACAGGCCGCGGCCTTACGGGGGCCCCAGAGGCCCCTGTTCCGCAGCTCCCGCTGGCTCCAGGTCGGGACCAGCCAGGCTGCAGCAGCCCCCCCTGCCAACCCGCTGCCCGGCCGCTGCCCTTCTGCCCCACTCGGGGCGGCCTGGCCCCTGTGGAAGCAGCAGGTGGGACAGGCAGGTGTGCTGCCCACGCCTGGGCCACAGACCCGGTGCCCAGCGCGGGCGTCCAGCCCCAGGGCCCTGGCCTCTCCCGGCACGTGGGGGTGGGGGGTGGCCAGGCGGCTCCTCCTTTCGGCGGCCGAGGGCAGGCCCCGGCTGCAGTGCCCCCCCAGCGCTCCGCGCACCGACGCTGCAGGCCCAGCCAGCCCAGGGGCCCCCGGCGAGGTGGGGTCCGCCCTGGGGCTCCGAGCCGGGCGCCGGGGCAGCCTCCAGCACAGTCCCCGCTTCTCTGCTCCTCCGAGGGGGGCTCTCCCCGAGGCCGCGCCCGCCAGCCCCGACGGCCAGTGGGCAGCGGCCGCCCCGGCCAGCAGGCCGCGGCCCTGGGGTGCCCCCTCCCGGCAGGAGGAGCGGGCGCGGGGCCGGGAGGGAGCCCCGGGAGGGAGCCCCGGCGGCGAGGGGCGGGCGCCCGAGGCGGAGGCGGGGCGGGCTCGGAGGGGGGCGCCGGGGGGGGTGGCGCCGGGGGGGGGGTGGCGGCGGGGGGGCGCGCGGGGGGGCCGAGGGGGCGCGCGGGGGGCGGCGCGGGGGCGGCGCGGGGGGCGCCGGCCGGGGCAGGGGCGGCGGGGGACCCCCGAGGCCGAGCGCGGCCCCGCCCCGCCCCGCGCCCGCCCCGCCCCGCGCACGCCGCGCCCCACGTGACCGGCCGGGCCGCCCGCGTCAGCTGACCCGCCGCGCCGCCGGGGCTATAAGCCGCGACCTCGGGCCGCCGAGCGCGCCGCCATGCAGCCCCCCAGCCTCCCGCTGCTCCTGCTCGGCCTGCTGGCCGCGCCCGCCGCCCCGCTGCTGCGGTGAGCCCGCCCCGGCCCCCGCCCCCGCGCGCCCCGCGCCCCCCGCGCCCCCCGCGCGCCCCGCGCGCCCGGGGTCCTCCCGCCCCGGCCTCCCGCGCCCCCCGCCTCCCGCCCCTGCGCGCCCGGGGTCCTCCCGCCCCGGCCTCCCGAGCCCCCCGCCGCCGCCCTGCGCGCCCGGGGTCCTCCCGCCCCGGCCCCCGCGCCCCCCGCGCCCCTGCGCGCCCGGGGTCCTCCCGCCCGCGCCCCCCGCCCCCCGCGGTGGGGGCCGCCTCGCCGCCGCGCGGGCCCCCAGGACGCGCCCTGGGCCTGGGACGGCGGGAGCTGCGGGGCCCTGCCGGGGCGGGGGGGGCGCCTGTCGCGGGCGCGGGCCGGAGGCCGGCGGTCGGGGTGCGGGGCCGAGACCCCTGCCGGGCCCCGTCGCCCCCCCAGCCGGCGCCTCTGCGGCTGAGGGGCGCGGCCGCGGCTCGGTGGGCGTCTGGCGGGGGCTGGGCCGCGGCTTCCCGGCCGCCCCGCCCCGCCGCCCCGCCCCGGGAGCAGCAGCCTCCTGGGGGGAGGGACCTGCCCCCCCCCCCCCCCCCCGTGCCGGGGGAGCCGCCGGCCTGCAGCCCCCGTGCGCGCCTGCGGGGTGGGCGGCCGCCTTGGGGTCCCCTAGGCCGGGCAGCCCCAGCGCGGCGGGCCGGGGCGGCGGGGAGGTCCTCGCCTGGGCCCCCACCCGGGCCGGCCGGGCCTGCGCGGCGGGGGCGGTGGCGCCGGCCGTGCCGCCTGCGTGGGCCTCTCCGTGGGCAGCGGGCGAGGAGCCTGCCCGCCCCGCCCACCGCCCGAGCCTGGCCCGGGAAGGGCCTGGGGCTTCATGGGGCGGCAGCCGAGCCAAAGCCCCCCGCGCCCCCCTGGCGCCTGCAGAGGTGGCCCCCGCCCCACGGGGACCGAGGGCTTGTCCTGCCCCCACACTAGCGCCGGGGCGCCGCGCAAGAGCCCCGTCTTCCCGGGCACACCCCTGGCCTGGGGGGCCAGCGCCACCTTGCCAGGCGCATGTCACCAGGTGGTCACCTTTGCTCCTGGCCTGCCTCCTGGTCCACTGGGAGCCGGAGGAGGTCCCCACTTTCCCCTCCGGGTTGTGGACACCACACCCAGCAGAGCCCAGACCTCTGACCCCAGTCTGCACCCCCCTTGCCGGCACGCCCACGGCCTCGCAGCAGGCCAGCTGCCGGAGGTGGGGCTCGGAGGGGGCGCGGGGGCCTGCTGAGGGCAGGCCGCCCCGGTGTGGTGGGGGGACAGCGGCAAATGGACTGTCGGGGGCCGAGTTGCTGCAGCTTGTGCTGCGAAGGGGCCAGGCGGGTGCTGGGGGCTGAGCATGGTCGGGGATCCCATCCGAAGGCCAGGAGCCGCCCCCCTGGGCACAGACCGACAGCTTCAGTGCCAGCCTGGAGGGGCGTGGGGTCTGGGTGGACAGCAGCGGACAGCCGTTAGGCCAGGTGGTTGGGGTGTCCCGAAAGCGTCATCCCCAGGTGACGGGGCCACTGTGTGAAGGAGACCGGGGGCAGGGGGAGGGGCAGCCCTGCTGACCCAAGGGGCCACCTGACAGCTGCTCCCCTTGACAGAATCCCGCTGCACAAGTTCAAGTCCATCCGCCGGACCATGTCGGAGGCGGGCGGCCCCGTGGAGGGCCTGATTGCCCCGGGCCCCATGACCAAGTACACCCAGGGGGCGCCCACCATGGCCAGTGGGCCCATCCCCGAGATGCTCAAGAACTACATGGACGTGAGTATGGGGTGAGGGGGGGCTGGGGCGTGTGCGGCTTGGGGAGGCGTCGCCTGCCGCGTGGGCTGGGGCGACTGCTCTGCCCGCTTCCCGCTCCCTCCACTGCTGGCTCACGCCTCCCGGGGCACAGCAGGCACCCCTGCCGCCCAGGTTCCCCTCGGCTGCCGGGCGTCCCTGGCCATGTCCAGCTGTGCCCCTGACGGTTGGCTCAGCTCTGCAGACCTGTGGGCCTGGGGCAGTGCGATCCCTGGTGTCCTCTGGCATCGTGGCTTGGACATATGGGTAGTCGGTCTTGGGCATCCCCAGGGCAGGGGGGACCCTGCATCCTGTAGCTGGACCTCTCGGTTGGCCTCCCTGGGCTAACTACCTGTCCATCCTGCCAGCAGGCCTGGGCCACCATGACCAGTCCCCACGCTCCACCCTGGTCAGAGGCTAGTCCTGACCGAGCCCGCTGTCCCTTGAGGGGGAACAGGTGCAGGCGGGACATTCTGGTGGCCACAGCAGACTAGGGCCAGCGGACCCAGTCCCAGCTCCAGGGACAGGCCCTGGCCACCTCCGGGAAACCAGGTGACAGCCACCTTGCTGCCCTGCCCTGGTCGTGGGGGCTCCACACCTCCTGCCTGTGTCCCCCTGGCTGGGACGGGCGCCATGTCCTGTCCTTCCTGGCTGGAGGCCCAGCCGTGCCGGGAAGCTGGGCCTCACGGGCATGTGACAGGGCTGGTGAAGGGGGGCCGTCTGCTGGGGCCAACTGACCAGCTCTTGGCCCCCCAGATTTGCTGAGTCATTCCCCCCCCAATCTGGACACTTGTCGGGGCTGTGACTCAGCAGCTGCTGGTGTCCTTGGAGCCAGTGGCGAGGGGGGGGCCGGGGGACCGGCTACACAGGCTGTTCTGGGGAAGGCCCGGACACCGGGATGCCCCTGTTCTGTGACCATGGGGGCCGGGGTGAGGCCCTTTGAGGCCCAGGGGGCATGCAGCCCTCGTGCTCCCTGCTGGGCACAGGTGGGGGCGCAGGCCCAGGCGGTGAGGGCAGTGCTGGTGGTGGGCCCAGGGGCTGCGCCTCTCCTCAGCCGCCTCCACCTGGGACCTCATGCAGCCCCGACGGGCCCCCCGGGGAGGAGCTGCAGGAGGCACGGTGGTGGCGGCCCCGCCCACGGCTGTCTCTCCAGGGGCGCCTCATGCCCTGTGCGGGCAGTGCTGCCATCGTGGGCCTGGGGGCAGGGGTGCGCCGCTGGGATGGCTGGTGTGGACCTGGGCCCCCTCGGTCAGCTTGCAGGGGGGGCCCTCCCTCGGCCTGACGCACCCGCCCCCCCCAGGCCCAGTACTACGGGGAGATCGGCATCGGGACCCCCCCACAGTGCTTCACAGTCGTGTTCGACACCGGCTCCTCCAACCTGTGGGTCCCCTCCGTGCACTGCAAGTTACTGGACATCGCCTGCTGTGAGTTGCACGGGTGTCTGGGTGGGGCGGGGCACGCCTGACGCCGGGGCTGGCAGCAGCGTGGGGGGGCCACGCCTGATGTGGAGCCGGCCTGGCGCCCACTGACCCCCCGTGGTCGCAGGGGTCCACCACAAGTACAACAGCGCCAAGTCCAGCACCTACGTGAAGAATGGCACCACCTTCGACATCCACTACGGCTCGGGCAGCCTCTCGGGGTACCTGAGCCAGGACACCGTGTCGGTGAGTGGGGGGGGCGCGGGGCTGGGGCGAGGGTCCCTGTGGCTTCTGTGGCTTTGGGGCGACCCCTGGCCGGGCCTCTGTAGAGGAGAGGACCGGCCCTCCCCAGGCGCTGGCCAAGCTCCTTGGGGGCTGAGGCGCGGGCCTGCAGCCGCCCAGCAAGGCCTCCCTCGCCGGGCCCGGGCTGGGGGCTGCTGCTGCGGCCTGAGCCGGATGTCGCTCCCTGGCGTCGCTCAGAAGCCGTTGCCGCCACATCCTGCTGCGCCTCTTATCTCCGCGGCCTGCGGCGGGGAGGGCAGCGTCTGCTGGGGCTGGCGATAACCTGGTGCTCACCCTGCAGCGCCACCCACTGCAGGGGCCCCCGGGGCGCCCCTCCCTGCCCCCCACCCTCACTGTCCCCGGCCCTCCCCCTGCCGTCCCTGCGCAGGGTGGCGGCCAGTGGGCGACGGAGCTGGGCTCCCTCCCCGGCCGCTCACCCGCCTGCCCGCGCCCGCAGGTGCCCTGCAAGTCCGAGGCGTCCGGCGTGGCCGGCGTCAGGGTGGAGAGGCAGACCTTCGGGGAGGCCACCAAGCAGCCGGGCATCACCTTCATCGCGGCCAGGTTCGACGGCATCCTGGGCATGGCCTACCCCCGCATCTCCGTCAACAACGTGGTGCCCGTGTTTGACAACCTGATGGAGCAGAAGCTGGTGGAGAAGAACATCTTCTCCTTCTACCTGAACAGGTGGCGTGTCCGCGCCCCCGACCTCTGCTTTGGGGCCTGGGGGCCCCCGCGCCCTCCCGTGCAGCCCCTCATGGCCCCGCCGCCCTCCATTCCTGGCCCGGCCCGGGCGCTGCTGGGCACTGCCCTCTGGCCCTGCCCGGGCATGGGAAAGACTGCTCAGCGGCCCGCTGGGCTCAGGCAGGCGCGGCGGAGGGCACCTGCGGTCTGGCTGGGTCCGGGCTCCGGCGATGGACTGGGGAGAAAGGGGTGGGGTGGACAGGCCTGACCCCGCCCTCCCTTTCAGGGACCCGAACGCACAGCCAGGGGGCGAGCTGATGCTGGGGGGCACCGACCCCAAGTTCTTCACGGGCCCCCTGGTGTACCACAACGTCACCCGCAAGGCCTACTGGCAGATCCACATGGACCAGTGAGTGCCGGGGCGGGCGGGGGCGCTCGGCCTGCGCTGGTCAGTGGGCCCTGGGGGCAGGTGGGGCAGTGGCCCTGGGCCTGGCAGGGCTCAGTGGGCCCAGTGCCCCAGCCCTGTCCCCTGGCCTCCGGCGGGCAGCTCTCGACCCTCTTGGCCTCGGCTCGTGCTGCGCTGCAGCCGCGGCTGGGGAGGAGAAAGACGGGCCTGGGTGGGATGCGGGCCCCGGCCGCCGCAGGCTCACGCCCTCCCCCGCAGGCTGGAGGTGGGCAACGGCCTGACCCTGTGCAAGGGGGGCTGCGAGGCCATCGTGGACACCGGCACGTCCCTCGTGGTGGGCCCCGTGGCCGAGGTGACGGAGCTGCAGAAAGCCATCGGGGCGCTGCCCCTGATCCAGGGCGAGGTGAGTAGCAGGCCGTGGGGCCTGGGGGAGTTGAGGGGGGACTCGGGACCCACTGTGTCCTTCCTCCCCGCCGCAGTACATGATCCCTTGTGAGAAGGTGTCCAGCCTGCCCGAGGTCACCCTGAAGCTGGGAGGCCAGAAGTACACGCTGTCCGCCGAGGACTACACGCTGAAGGTGGGGCGGCCGGAGGGCGGGGGCCCGGCGGGGCGGGGGGCGCAGCCGGCCAGGGGCGGGGCTGGTGACCGCTTGCTGACCACCGCGGCCCCCCAGGTGTCGCAGGGCGGGAAGACCATCTGCCTGAGCGGCTTCATGGGCATGGACATCCCGCCGCCGGGCGGGCCCCTCTGGATCCTGGGCGACGTGTTCATCGGCCGCTACTACGCCGTGTTCGACCGTGAGGAGAACCGGGTGGGCCTGGCTCAGGCTGCCAAGTTGTAGCTGCCGCCCGGCTCGCACGGACCCGGGGCCCCCGCCCGCCGCCGTCTCACACACACACTCGCCCGCGCCCGCGGGCCTCTGGACGCCGCAGGCCCCGCCGGCCTGCAGTTCTGTTCTGTGGTCCCCCCCTGGTTTCAGGAAGGCCGGCTGTGCGCGCCTGCCCGCCCGGCTCCCCGTCCGTCTGCCCGTCCGTCTGGGGCGGGGCTGTGGGCACAGATGAGGGCCGTGCCGCCCACCCTGCCCCAGCCTCCCTCCCACCCGTGCTCCCCGCCCCCCTCCCTCCCGAGTCCCCGCTCCTCCCCGGCTGGGCCGCCCCCGCTGTCCTCTGTCCCAGCCTGGCCGGTGGGGCAGCTGCGGAGGGCCGGCTGAGACCAGAGGACAGCAGGAGGGAGCCGGGCCTGCCCAGGGCGCCCGCCAGCCGAGGGAGGTGCGGCGCTGGCCTCTCGGCCGCCCCTGCAGCCGCGGGAGCCACAGTCGACATAAAGCACAGCTGTCCGGCCTCTGTGTGTTGGTGTTTTGCGCATGGGGACGGGGCTCTACATCCTGGTCTGGGGACGGGGCTGGCCCAGTGGTGGCCGGACACTGGCCCAGCAGGGCCGATGCAGCCGGCCGGGAGCGCGGAGGCGCCGCGGCTCCAGCCAGCCTGGCCCGCACACGGGCGGGGGTGTGGGCAGGCTCCTCGGCCTCCCTGGGGGATCCTCCCGTGCCGGGCCAGACACCGGCAGCGGGGCGGCCCGAGGACCCTGTGGGCCCCGGGAAGGGGCCGATGTGGGCCCTATGTGCAGGAGCAGCTGGCCTGGGGTGACCCAAGGTGGGGCTGCTGAGCGGCTGGCCCGGGGCTGGGAGAGCCCATGGGCTTTCCTGAGCACGGGCTCCTCGGGTGGGGTCCCCCGCCCTGTGGGTGAGGGGGCATCGCCGTGGCCCTGGGGCCTTTGTCTGCAGGCTTGGCCGCACCGGGCTGGCCAGGGCTTGGGAACCGCACCCAGAGCCGAGCGCCCTGCATGGCCTGGAAACAGCCCGGAGGGCGGCCTGCGGCCTGGGGTGGGGCTGAGGGCACAGCTGAGAGGAGACCGCGCTGGCACCGCCCAGGGCCGCTCTCCCCCTCCCCCAGCCACAGCTCCCTCAGCCCACCAGCCCGCGTCCCTCCCTGCGCTGGCGCACGGAGAGCTTTGTTCCTCTTGTGGACCCAGGGGTGGGCACCCCGGAGCAGCCCCGGCCACGTTCCCGCCCTGCAGGCCCTGAGCCCCTGCCCAGAGCCCAGGGCCAGGAGGCCGCATCCAGGCCTTGGGTTCCGCAGACCCTGGGGTCAGCCTCTGGGAGGGCACAGGGGCACCCTGAGCTTGAGCCCGGCCTGTGCCCTCGGGAGACGGGGGCTGCTGGTGCCCCCAGCTGCAGGCCTGGCACCGCCCAAGCTGGACCCCCAGCTGGTGGGCGATTCCTGCCTGGAGGCTGAGCCCTGGCTCCCCTGCTGAGGAGGCCAGAGGGGGGCAGGGGTCATCTGCTCCCCCCACCTCGCAGTGGGGCTGTGCCGGGAGAAAGAATTTGGGGCCTCGAGGACATCTCCACAAGCACGGGGGCCACCTGTCAGGGGTCAGATTTGGGGTGAGGGCAGGACCTGTGGTGCCAGGGGGCACACAGGGACCCCCAAGGCTTCCCAAAAGCCTGGACTTGGAGGGCTGGGGACGTGGGCTGGAAGGGGGCCTCCGCGGCCTAGCTCGGGACCTGGGTGGCGTCTGGGGCCTTGGAGAGGCGCTGCCCGCCGGAAGAGGCAGAGACCGGAGGTGGGGGTCTGCCGGGCGCCTGGGCCAGGCGGTGCCGCCCCCGGGGTGGGCCGGAGGGCCAGTGGGCGCGAGGGTGGGGCTGGCGAGGGGACGGGCTGGGGATCTGGGCCCTGGGGGCTGTGGGGCTGGGCTTCTACGGGGGGGCATGGGCTGCGGGGGAGCCCGGCGGGGGCGCGGGCGGGCAGAGCGGGGCAGGGCGCGGAGTGCCACCCCCGGCAGGCGAGGGGGCGGCCGTGGGCAGCTGAGGACAGAGAAGGGGCGGCTCGCCAGGGAGGGGCCCGGCGGGAGAGGGGCGGGGGTGGGGCAGAAGCGGGTGGTGCGGCCACCGGGCAGGTGGCCCTCGGGACCCCCTGGGCAGCCCCGCCTCTCCGCAGGGCGGCCCCACCCCCACCCCACCCCCGCGGAGGCGGGGGAGGGGGCGCAGCAAGGCCTGAGTGGGGGGAGCTGTGGAGGCGCGCGGGAGAGGGGGGGGCGCAGGCAGGGGGTTGTCCCGCAGACAGGGGGAGCCCGCAGGCGGGGGGGGGGGGGGGGGGGGGGAGGACCGCAGACAGGGGTGCCCGCAGGCGGGGGGGGGGGCTGCGGGGGGCCCGCAGGCGGGGGAGGCCGTAGGCGGGGGGGGGGGGGGGGGAGCCTGCAGACAGGGGTGGCCCGCAGGCGGGGGGGCCGCAGGCGTGGGGGGGGGGACCGCAGACAGGGGTGCCCGCAGGCGGGGGGGCGCGGGGGGCCCGCAGGCGGGGGGGGCCGCAGGCGGGGGGGGTGCCCGCAGACAGGGGTGGCCCGCAGGCGGGGGGGCCGCAGGCGGGCGAGGCCCGGGCGCCGCCAGCCCCCCCCCCCCCCCCCGCGCGCGCCCGCGGAGCCCGGAGCCGGCCGCTGGGGGCGGAGCGCGGGCAGCGGGACCGGCAAGGACGCCCTGAGCTCGCCCGCGCGGAGTCGCAGGAGGTGGGGCGCGGCCGCGGGACGGGGCGGAGGCCGGCCGGGTGCAGCCCCCGCGCCCGCTCGCTCGGGCAGGGCCGGTGGCGCTCGGGGGCGGAGGGGGTGCGGGGGGCGGGGTCCCCTCGAGCTCCCTGCGGGTCCGTGGGGCGCGGGCGCGGGCGGGGGCGGGGGCAGCCCCCCCCGCGGGTGGGGGCGCGCGTGGGGTCCCGCGCCCTCTGGCGGGGTCGGGCGGGGCGAGCCCCCAGCGGGGGCCCCGCGGCCTGGTCGGCCCGGCTGGCCCGGCCCTGGCCGGCTGTTTACGGCGAGCGCGCCCGGGCTCGGGGGGAGGGTGCCCTGGCACGGCCCGGGCTCGGGGGGAGGGTGCCCTGGCACGGCCGCCCGCAGCGCCCGTCCTGCCCGCTGGGGCCGAGGCTGTGGGCGCTGCGCACTGTGGGGGCTCGGGCCGCGGTCAGCGGGGCTCCCGGAGCTGCCGAAGGTCTGTGGGTGGATGTTTGTGCGCAGAGGGCAAAGCGCGACCAGCGGCTTCTGCTGGGCTGGTGGCACGGGCTGTGGCTGCTGCTGTGGGGGAGCGGGCGCCCCGGGGGCTGCCGAGGGGGCTGCAGGACACGCGGCCGGCGGGCAGAGCCCCCTCACCACTCTCCCCCTCGCAGGCCCGGGGCCCGCTCGTGCCCAGCCCTGCTGGGAGCCCCGCCAGCACCACGGACGGCGCCCAGGAAGCCCGCGTGCCCCTGGACGGGGCCTTCTGGATCCCGCGGCCCCCGCGGGCTCCCCCAAGGGCTGCTTCGCCTGCGTGTCCAAGCCCCCAGCGCTGCAGGCGCCAGCGGCCCCCGCCCCGGAGCCCTCGGCCTCGCCCCCCATGGCCCCCACCCTGTTCCCCATGGAGTCCAAGAGCAGCAGGACGGACAGCGTGCGGGCGGCCGGCGCCCCCCAGGCCTGCAAGCACCTGGCCGAGAAGAAGACCATGACGAACCCCGCCACGGTGATCGAGGTGTACCCCGACGCCAGCGAGGTGAACGACTACTACCTGTGGTCCATCTTCAACTTCGTCTACCTCAACTTCTGCTGCCTGGGCTTCATCGCCCTGGCCTACTCCCTCAAAGTGAGGCTCTGCGGCTGCTGGGGTGGCGGGGGGCAGGCTGAGCTGGGTGAGCTCCGGGCGCTTTGACGGGGCCCTGGCCGGTCCCTGCACAGCTGGCCTGGGGGCAGCCGGGGGCCTTCCCAGTGGGGGCTGCACAGAAACCTGATGCAGCTGCCGGGGCCGCGGGGCTCGGAGGGTGGGGGCCTCCCCACCAACGGGACGGTGGGGCTGGGGTCGATGGGGCCCTCTTAGCCAAGCCCCCGCCAGGAGCCTCACAAGCACGCAGGGGGCTCTCTGGACTGCTCCCCGGCTGCTGCTGCCCGCCTGCCCACCTGCCCGCCTGGCAGTTCTCAAACGCCGGCCCCGGCGGGAGCTCTGGGGGAGGGGGAGGGGCGTGGGGCCACGGGGTGGGGGCAGCCTGCCTTGTCTCTGCATCCTGAGGCCCGCCCTGCCCGCCACGAGCCCCGACTGCGCTCCCCACCCCGGCCCTTGGCAGCCGGGTCACGCCGTCTGCGGGCGGCCGGGGCACGTGCGGGCCTGGGCAGAACCGAGTGGCGTGTGCGGTGTGTGTGCGTGAGCGCGTGTGCACGCATCTGCCCTGCGGGCAGCCAAGGCGTGGGGTCCCGGGGTGGAGGTTGCAGGCCCGCCTCCACCAGTGCCCCTGCCTGGGCTGCCCAGCCTGTCCGGTTCCCGCCGTGCGGCCCCCGCGGGCTGTGCCACCTCCTGGCCCGGCTCGGCGCGGACGCAGGCCGGGCGGCCCATCTGGCGCGGCTGTAGGTAGGTCAGGGATCTCTGAATGGGCAGCTGGCATGGGGCAGGTGGAGGAGTTGCAGCCCTGCATGGGGGACTGTCCCCTGCGAGGGGCCTCGGTCTGCTGGCCCCTCGTCCTTCCTGGGCATTCCCAGGGCCAAAAAGGCTTCGGGCTTTCCTGGGAGGTGCAGGGGGGCTGCCTCCACGGTAGGGGGAGGAGGCTGGCCTGGGCCCCGCTGGGACATGTGTCCGTGCGCCCGAGCGTGCATGCCTGCTGGCCTGGCCTCATGCCGAGGTCACGGCACATCCAAGGGCGCCCGGTGGACGTGGGGTCAGGAGACCTTGGCTAAACTCCCATGTGGTCCCTGGGGATGGGGGCCAGGCTTGTGCCAAGCCCCGTCCTCACCCCCTGTCCAGCGGCGGCACAGCAAGGCCAAGCAGCACACAGGGGCAGGGAGGGGGCCCGTGTCCCTGCTAGTCCGCCCCGACTCCCACAGGCAGGTGGCCCCTGCCCCGGCACCCGCTGGGCCCGGCCCAGCACCGGCCAGGTGCTCGGGGACAGCCGGGCAGAGCGTCGCGTGGCCAGGAAGCGGCGAGGACGGCGCGTGGGGGACGGTGAAGGGCGGGGCAGGAGCAGCCAGTCCAGCTACCAGCACCCCTGGGGAGCTCGTGCCCAGGCCCGAAGGGGAGCCAGGCCTTGGGCTGCGCCCTAACCCCTTTGTGCTCTGAAACCCCCAAGACCGGGGCCGCCAAGCCCACCCCCGCTGCCCGCCCGGCCCCTGGCCCCTGCTGGCCCTTCTGCCCGTCTCTCGCCCTCCCTCCCGAGCTGCTCCCAGGCGGGCTCTCCCCCAGCCCCACCCGCCTTACCCCCTCCCGCCCGCCTCCACGGGGCCCCCACGCCACTGTCTGCCGCGACTCAGCTCGGGCCACCTCGCCCCGTGCGGAGCCCCCTCCGTGCAGACATGGGGCGTCCCCGCTCCTTGTACCCCTGCTGGGAACAGGCTACGTGCCCGCTGGTCAGAGGCACCGCTCCTGCCCACCCCCGCCGCCGCGTGCCCGCCTCCACAGGCCCCTCTGCCCGGTGCCCGCCCCGTGGCCCAGCTCCGCGGCCCCCGCCCCCGGCCCGCCCGGCCACCGGGCCCCGCCTGCCCTCCGCGGCGGCCATCACTGCCCGGCGCCCGGCGCCCTGCCGCCCTCCCGGCCGCCGGCCGCCCGCGCACCCGCCACCTCTCCGCGCGTCCACTTGCCCCCTGCCCGAGCCCGGCCGGCCGCCCACGCTCCGCGGCTCAGGGACGCGGCTCCTCACCCCCCGCTTGGGCTTTTCCTCCACCCGCCCCTGCCCGCACCCAGGCGCCTGCTGCCCACCCTCGCTGCCCCACGGCCCTGCCCGAGGCGCACCTGTTCCCCTGCCCCTTCACCCTCCTCGTCCCATTACTTGGCCACCCCGCATGCCCCCCGGCCCCCTCCCGGCGCTGCCCCTCCCAGCCCCCCCACCCCCCTGTGCCCAGCGCAGGGCGCCCGCGTGGGCTGCACTCTGGGGCCGGACGACCCTGGCTCGGAGTCCGCGGCGGGGCAGGGGGCGGCGAGTGGGCTAGGAGGGGTGCTCGGGCAGGCCGGGCCCTCCAGGCCGGGGTCGGGGGCAGCTGGCCGGGCCCTCACCGCCCCCCGCCCCGGCTGCAGGTGCGTGACAAGAAGCTCCTCAATGACCTGAACGGCGCCGTGGAGGACGCCAAGACGGCGCGGCTGTTCAACATCACCAGCTCCGCCCTGGCCGCCTCCTGCATCGTCCTGGTCTTCATCTTCCTGCGGTACCCGCTGGCCGACTACTAGCCGCCGGCGCCGCTCCCGCCGCATCCCGACCTGCGGGGTGCAGGCTGGGGTGCAGCCGGGTGCGGCCCGGCCCCCCAAGGCTGTGAACCGGCAGCGAGGCCATCAGAAGCTCTTCGGGGTGCGGGGCAGCCCCCCGGCCCTCGCCTGTTCTGAGGCCTGTGGGTCTCCTCCTGAGTTGCAGCACCCCAGCTTCCTCCCTGCCCTCGCCTGCTCCCCAGACCTGACCCAGCAAGAAGGGCTTCTGTGGGAGCTCCCCATGATGGGGGGCTGCCAGCCGCTGGGGACTCACTGTGCGCCACCCCCCCACAAGCTGTGGCCTGCTCCGAGCTCCGAGCTCACGCCCCCGCGAACACTCAATAAAACACCTGCCGGCTCCGGCACCTCCTGTCCGGGCCTGGGCGGGGGGCTCTGTGCACAGTGGGGGCCCCTTTCAGGCCTGGCTGGGGTCTGGCCCCATGGCAACATCCTGGCTGCCTGCCAGCAAGCTTGCTCTGCAGACCTGCAAGATGGGAACGGGGGGGGGCGTTGGGAGGGCACCCCGACTCCAGCCTTGGAGGATCAGGTGGCTGCCTCGGGCACCAGGCCCAAGGCGGGGGTCTGCAGGTGGGCGGGTGGGGGGCAGGACACTGGGCGCGCCGGCCCCTGGCCGGAATCTGTCGGGTCCCCGGCCACGTGGCTGAGCGGGAGGACAGGGACGCACAGGCGGGCACAGTGGGCAGCAGTGGCGGGAGACCGGCCCTTGGGGGGAAAGCGCCGGGTGAGAGGTCAGGGAATGGGTGTGGGATCCCGCCCTGTCCTCTTGCCAGGCTGGACACACACAGAGGCGGCTCAGCAGAGGCTTCTGGGAAAGCAAAGGTCAGCCGGGGGTGGAGAGAAAGGAGACGAGAGAAACAGGACCCCAACACCCGGGGGCTTCCATCCAGTCACCCCCAGCTGGACCCCAGCACAGCCCGAGCAGGCCCCAGACAGGCCGGACCCCCACGACAAGGCCCGGGGCTCTCACCGCGGCTGCCGTCAGGCCTCAGCGCCTGGCCTGGAGTGGACGCAGGTCGGCGCCTCGCGCGGCACAGTGTCTTTGCGGAGCCCGCGGAGGGCGCCCAGGGCAGGCGGCGGCTGCCACCTCAGACCCCAGCACCCCGGGGCCTCGACGCCAGAACCTTCCGCGGCTGTCCTGGGGGCCAGCGGCCCGGGGTGGACTCTGCGGGCGGCGGCGCTGGGGCCCGAGTGGGTCTCTGCGACCCGGCCGAGGGCTCCTGAGTGCGTGTCCGCATCTGGCCTGCGAGCCGCCGGCTCGGGGCACCGGCAGGTCTCGTGGGTCCTGCCCGCCCACGCGGCGCCGCGCCCTCTGCCCTTCTGCTGGGAGACACCGCGGGGCCCGGGCTGTTCTCGCGGCGTCGGGAGCGGGAGGGCCGGGAGGGCCGTGCCCCAAGGACACCCCGGCGGGCAGACCCTGGGGTGGCCGTCTTTGGTCTGCTGCCCCCCGTCTCTGGTGACCGCACTGGACCCCTAACCCCTGGCTGTTACTCATCTCTCCTCTGCAAATGCCACAGCCACAGCCGTGGTCTGCCGCGGGGACGGCCGAGACGCTGCGTTGTTTGTGACCTGTTGGTTTTTATTTTATTTTTAAACATTTTTAAAAGGTTTATTTTATCTATTGATGCACACAAGAGCCAGGGTGCAGGCCAGAAGTGGGGGGTGAGGGGACTCCCCAGAGGTGTGGGGGGTGAGAGGATGCACCGGAGACAGAGTGGGGAGCAGAACAGGCGGGTGTACTGAGATACACTGCTGAGGGGAGCAGGTGGGGAGACAGGAGGGGTCTGCTGCGCCTTGTGGGTCACCTCCCTGGCCAGGGATCAAACCTGTGCTGCAGCGGCTGCCGATAGCTTCATAGCACTCAGAATGAACCCCTACACCCCCAGGGAGGCCCCCTGGTTATTTTTAATTGGCACGTGCACCACGGCACCCCAACTCCAGCGCCTGTGCCCCGCCACCACCGCCACCAGCCCCTGCCTCTGCCAGCCAGCTGGAGAGCAGCTCCCTGGGTGCCGGCCCTCGCCCGCTCCACCCGGACCAGCCTTCTTCTCTGGACATTGGACTCAAGTCCACTGTCTGCAGGAGTTTGTCAGGCTTCTCGACCAGATACGCAGGGTCCAGCTGTGGCTGAGGCTGGCCCCTGAGCCCACGGGGCAGCAGTGCAGACCCTCTGCCCGGAGGCGTCCCCCACTCTGTGCTCACCACCCACCGGGCCCTCCGCTTTGACATGGCCCAGAGGTGCTGCTCTGCAACTGCTCCTCTCCACTCCAGAGGGTGAGGTCTTTCCCTTTTTGCCCTGGCTGCTAGGGAGCCCCAGCAGAGGCCGCACTCTCAGGCAGTCGCCCCGGGCCCGGGTGCCACCACTTCCTGTCGCTCTGCTTCCTTCCTGTGCGTGTGCGAGGGGTCATTTCCTTCCTGAACGTCTGCTCTGGGTTAATCTACAACCGCTGGGTGAGTCGGCCGGCGCCCACAGCCGGGGAGGAGAGACTCTGGCCTGTCCCGGCCCTGGACCGGACGAGTCTTCCCTGCACCCCGTCCGTGATTGTGCCCTAGGAGAGTGGGCTGCGTCAGCCAGGGCTGGCGCCGGGGCCCAGCGGGTTACCCCACTCTAGGCTGATGTTTTCACGTTGGGGGCCCAGCGGGTTACCCCACTCTAGGCTGATGTTTTCACGTTGGGAAACCCACCGCGTCAGGCCCCGCAGGCCTGGCCAGGCCAGGGCAGGCGGGCGGGCGGGCGGAGTAGTCCAGGCCCAGGCCTGCTCCTGGGGACAGGGGCTGCAGGCAGCCGGGCTGGAGGGGCCGGGAGGAGGTGCCCTGTTCTGCGCATGCCCCCAGCCGGCGCCTGCTCCGGTGGGCCTCAAGGTCACCAGGCAGAGGCCGTGATGAGGGGTGTGGGGCAAGCAGGCCTCTGTCCTGGGGGCCCAGAGCCGAGGGGCCCTGAGGAGGAGGAGGAGGTGGGCAGCTTTGAGCAGCAGCTGCAGGGCCGAGGGGCTCGGGACGTCCAGCCCGGCGGGGCCACCACACGGAGGGGCCACCACACGGAGGCGGGGCCACCACCTCCTCAGGCCAGCGGCCTCCTCAGGGCTGGCTCACACTTGGGGCTCCTGCAGTGCCAGGGCCAAGGAGCAGACCCCCTGCCCCAGCACCCACACGGCCTCCTGATTCCCCCGGACGCTGGATAGGCCTTCCCTAGGCCACGGGCCCGGGCGACACCCCCACTCTGCTCCCGCACCGCCCAGCCTGGCTGGGGAGGCCACGCTCCAGGCTGCTGGGCCCCGGGAGGCGCCGTGGTCTCCAGGCGCGTTCCCACCGTCCCCTGGGCTCCCCGCACCTTTCACAAGCCCAGGCTCCCCGCACCCCCTCTGCACCCTCCCCTGGGAACTGGCCCTCCAGAACCTCGGGCCCCCGGGAAACACAGGCCCTGTGGAGCCCCCGCCCCAGAACACGAGCCCTGGTGTGGGCTGGTGTTTGCTCAGGACAGAGTCCGAGACCCACGGGCCCCCTGGGGAGAGAGCCAGGCGGGGCCGCTGGCAAGGAGCAGACAGCAGTGGCTGAGAGAGTGCTTTATTGGAGGGGCGAGGCCCAGCCTCCCTGTGCCCAGGGCAGTTCAGGGGGCATGGGGGCGGGGGTCAGGGATCGGGGGAATGGGGGGGCGGGGGTCAGGGATCGGGGGCATGGGGGCGGGGGTCAGGGATCGGGGGCATGGGAGGGCAGGGGTCAGGGATCGGGGGCATGGGAGGGCGGGGGTCAGGGATCGGGGGCATGGGGGGCGGGGGTCAGGGATCGGGGGCATGGGGAGCGGGGGTCAGGGATCGGGGCACGGGGGGGCTGGGGGTCAGGGATCGGAGGCAGGGAGGGGCCTGGTCCGGCCAGGCCAAGCGGAGGGCTGGGGGAGATCCAGGGTGCAGGCGGCCTGCGCAGAGCAGCCTCCTGTGGGGAGAGCCAGGGTTGTGGCCCAGGCCCGCCCCGGACGGGCAGCTCTTCACTCTCCCATACTGCTCCTGGGCGCAGTGGACGCTGGACTGGAGATGGGGTTCATCACTTTCCAGGGAGGTGGGACTCCCCGAGGTTTGTGGTCAAAGCCTCAGATCTTGCACTGGCAGCAGACAGGGATCTTGCACTGGCAGCAGACGGGGGCACAGCTGCACTGGGAGCAGCTGGGCTTGCAGCAGCTGGACTGGCAGCAGCTGGGCTTGCAGCAAACGGGGACACAGCAGCTGGACTGGCAGCAGCTGGGCTTGCAGCAGCTGGACTGGCAGCAGACGGGGACACAGCAGGTAGATTGGGAGCAGCCACAGGAGCCGCAGCCCCCACAGGAGCCGCAGCCCCACAGGAGCCACAGCCTCCCTTGCAGCCCCCACAAGAGCCACAGCCTCCCTTGCAGCCCCCACAGGAGCCACAGCCTCCCTTGCAGCCCCCACAGGAGCCACAGCCCCCACAGGAGCCACAGCCTCCCTTGCAGCCCCCACAGGAGCCACAGCCTCCCTTGCAGCCCCCACAGGAGCCACAGCCTCCCTTACAGCCCCCGCAGGAGCCACAACCCCCCTTACAGCCCCCACAGGAGCCACAACCCCCCTTACAGCCCCCGCAGGAGCCACAGCCCCCTTTGCCACAGCTGGCGCAGGGGCAGGCGGGCACACAGCAGCAGGCGGGCACACAGCAGCAGGCGGGCACACAGCAGGAGCCGCAGCCCCCGCAGCCCCCGCAGCCCCCGCAGCTGGAGCCGCAGCCCCCGCAGCCTCCGGAGCAGCCACAGCAGCCCATGGTCGTGGTGAGTGCGAGTGCGGGACGGAGCGGGTCAGAGGAGAGGAGAGAGGGAGGGTGGAGTGTGGGGCCTGGCGGGGGCGGGGCCTTTATACACCTGCCGGCCAGGTGCGCCTGCACGCGCCCTTCCTGCTTCCTGTTTGTGCCGGTTCCTCAGAGCTATTTTATTTATTTGTTTTATGGTAACGTAACATCCTGGTCTCGTAGTCGCAGCTCTGCGCCTTTTCTTTAC